TGTGTGTGTGTGTGTGTGTGTGTGTGTGTGTGTGTGTGTGTTTTTCCTGAGGTATTACTTGTAAATGTTTTGGAGTCATTCTCTTCTGTGTGTGTCTTGTGTCTTTGCCCATTACAGCAGGATTCTTTTTTCTTCCAGTCTACTTTCTGACTTTGTACTTGATGTTAAGGGCTGGGTTTTGCCTCACTTCTGGAGAGAAAGTCTGTTGTTGCTTTCTTGGGAGTATTGAATATTGTGTTATTCCAAGATTTCAGAGACAGGTTGGAGGCCTGCAAGTGTTCAGTGTTCCTTAAGTGGTCTGGTCCAGGGCAAAGTCTGATTACTCCATCCCTGGTGTCTGAGTTCCCCAAGTTCCTGACCTGGGTTTGGTTCGGTGCAAAACTTGGGTAGACTGTATTTACTAGATTAAACTTGTCCCCTCTCAGCTAGCTAGAAAAGTTGATTCAGAGTGGCAGAATTATAGGCTCCCCTTTGTTTTGTGATTCCTGCCCTGATCATTTCTCTGTAGACTGGGTTGGGGCCACCTGGGGTCTGAGCCACTCTGCTTGCTACTAGCTTCTAAACTACTAGCTTCTAGCACCTCTTTTCTCTGTACACTGCTTAGGGTCTCCCTATCTAAGAACACCACCTCCCTCCACAGGCTCCCTTCTCAGTTCGACCTAAATCTGGGTCGTGGATGGAAAAGCTGCCAGCTGGCACTGTCCCTGGCACAGTGCTCCTGCATAGGTCTGGAACATTGTCTTCCCCTCATGCACAACCTTCCCCTGGGCACTGGGATGCTTGAATGCAGCATGCTCAGTGTAGCCCTATCTCCTTATGCCAAGATGGCCTGGACAAATGATTCACTCTTTTTCTGGATCTCCCTAAACAAGACGTAGTTTAGTGCGTTTTTTGGAGGAGTTTACTAGGGGAGCTCATTGTACTGCTTCCTAACACTCTACCATCTTTGCTTCCCCACCCTAATAATTTGCAATTCTTTTGAGAACTGATTGTTGTTATCTTTGACTAATAGTCCTCATATATCTTGAATATCAGACCCTATAAGAAATAGTTGATACAATCGTTTCCTTTTTTTATTCTAGTTGTACTAATTTTGCTCACTAAAGCTTTTCAGTTTCATGCCATCAAAATGATCCATTTTCTCTTTTATATACTTTATGCCTTATTTAAAAATTTACCCTCTAGTTAAGTTGTGAAATATTATTTCCAACTATTTTCCTCTAATTTTTATGTGATCTTTTATATTTAAGTTGATCGTCCATTTGGAACTCTTGTTATACAGCATCAAATACCAGTATAAATCCATCTTCTACCAAACTGCTTTCCAGTTTGCCCAGCTGTTATCAAATAGCTCCTCCCCAAATAATTTATGTTCTTGAATAATAATTTATGTTATTGAACACTGCTGGGGTAATGAGTTCAATTATTTCTGATTCTTGCTTATCTAGCCTGTTTCACTGATCTACTTTCCTATTTTTCAACCATTGACAAATACTTTTGATGATAACTACTTGGCAATATAATTTAAGATCTGGAATTATTTTTCTTGATTTTCTAGACCTTTTGTTCCTCCAAATGAATTTTTATTTCATCTAGCCACATAAAGCACCCCTCTTTCCTCCCCACCCCCTAGTTTGATTGGTTAAGACCATTAAATTGTGAATTCAAATTTTAATTCTTGAGAGCTTACCATTCATTACAGAGAAGCCATGTACCATGGCTTGAAGATGTTCCAGTAGATCTCAAGCTACCTCTTCTCTTGTGCCTAGACTGACTGACTTTATCAGAAGAACTTTATTTCCTGGTATGTGAACATATGCCTTCCGCTTTTAGATTGCCTTCATTTACTCTTTATATATCTTCTATGTAATTAGTTATTTTCACATCTCCTCCATTACAATGTGTATAATCCTGGAGAGCAGGGATTTTTAATTATTTATTTTGCTTTTGTTTCCTAAGCACTTAGCACAGTGTCTGGCACTCTAGTAGCACTAAATAAATTTGTTGAATGACTGAATTTTGTTGAACCTTTGAAATCTATACTCCAAAAAAACTACAATGCATTGTCAGACTATTCTCAACATTTCTTTTCTTCTCTATCACAAAATTTAAGATAGGAGATTTTGTGCTGTTTGTTGTACTTATTCTATAATAGGATTTATTCCCATCCCCAACAATGTTCCCAACACTTCCAATCCATCAAATTATTTCTCCTTGTTGGTTAAAATCAGATCCAGAATAGAACTTCCCATTATTTGTTCCTCTGCTATATATAGTTTGAGGTTCCAGCGGGTCATCCAGGTGAAGATGCCCAGCAGCAAGCAGCAGGAGATTCAGAACTGTAAGTTCAAGCACAGCATTAGGAGTAGATACATAGATTTGGTAGTCATATGAAAAAAGGCAATAAATGAACAGAAGGAGCTGGTAAGTTACACAAGGGAAGGAGAGTTTAAAGGGAGTAGAGAGTTAGGGCAAAGCAATGAAGATCAGGATTAGAGGGTAGAGGACTATGAAGCAACCAAAGAAACCAGGAGAGGGCACTGTCACTGAATGCTAGGGAAAAAAAGTATCCAGGAGGAGGGAAGGGGGTAGGGATCAGTAGGTAAATAAAAAGGGCAAAGAAATCAAAAAGTACCAAAACAGAAAAAGTCAACAGATTTAGACACCTACACAACTCAATTCAGCAAGTGTTTATTTATTTAATGATCATATTCAGAAGGGAAATAAAAAATTAGATTAAAAAATTGTAGTTGCTCCTCTTGGAGCTTAGTTTTTAGTAGGGCAAGACATTAAAATGTATGGCTATATTATATTGTATTTGTAGAATAACTACAACAAAGAGATGCAAAATAAAGTGTTTTCTGGATGCTCAGAAGATTCTTACTGTCAAAGAGAAACCACGGAAAGCTTCCTGGAGAAGATGGTATTTGAATTAAGCTTGAAGGATATAAAGAGGAAGACAGGAAGCAAAGGGGGAGGAAGGCCAATCCAGATACCCAGATGATTACAATAAAAGCTGGATTACTGTAAATGCATATGAGAGTCACAGGGAGCTGCTGAAGGACCCCAGTTAGGGCTTATGCGGGGAAGGGGAGGAAGGGAGGCCTCTTTTTTCCAACTGTCTTGCTCCTGCTTACTTCAAAGAAATCAAGGAGAGTTTCCTGGAGGAGATGGCATTTGGACTGGGCTTGAAAATTTACAGAAGAATTAAGGAGGCAAAGAAGGTATGGGAGAGGTGTGTATAATAATTCCTGGCTCTCCCCATACCCTAGAGTCGCGGGAGGGGCTCTGATATTCGGCGAGTGACCTCTCCGACCCGCTTCCTCTCGGGTAGCTTCAGACCCTGATCACGTCCACGACCACGCCCCCAGTCCGCCCAGCCGGGAGGGACGCTCTGGCCCCACGAAATCAAGGCCCTTCTTCCCCCCGCCTCTCTATGATGCCGATGACGCTACTTTCTCCAGTTCCTTTGGCAACCCTTGCTCTCTGCAGAAAAGACGGAGGTGAAGGGAGAACGATACGTGTGGAATGAAACGAAGGCTGACACCTCCTAACCTAGTCTGCAGTCACCTCCAGGGTAGGCCCGCCGCCCTTCCGCCCTTCCCTTCCTCTCTGTAGAGCCCTTCCTTCCGGTTGGGCTCCAGCTCTCTGATTGGCCGGCGGGGCCGCTTCCGGCCGTTCTCCCTCCCAGGGAGCCGCCGCGATTATGCAGCTTTTTGTGCGTATTAATTTTGTCCTCTCCGCGCCCCGCTTTGTGGTGGTGACAACATGTGGCGACTCCCAGGGATGCTGGGCCGAGGTGAGGGGACCCCGAACAGAGACAGGGATCTTATCTCTGCCATGTCGCGGAGCCCCAACAGTCAGAGGAAGAGTCAGAGTGGAAAACGTGGTGAAAGGCCGAGAGGGGCCCTGCATGACGGAATGGGCAGGGCCAGTCCGGGAGTGGGCGTGGCCTTAAGGAAGGGGCGGGGATAGCTCTGTAGGGGTGGAGTTAAGCTGTATAGGATTTTACCTTTGTGACCTTGGGCAAGTCACTTGCCTTTTTTTTCTGGATAGGTTTTCTCATATGTAAAATGGGCATAATATTTGCACTGCCTACCTCACAACACCGTTTTGTAAACTTTAAACATAGTATAATATGCTCATTACCTTTAGTGAGCATAGCCAATCATCAGTCAATGAGATGATATTTGCAAAGCTCTTGGCAAAAACTCCATAATGGATGGGGAGCTTTCAAGTAAATTTTGATTTTCCAGTTTAGTGGTCTTAATCAATCAAACTATAGGATGGAGGGGGAAGAGGGATACTTTATATAGAAAAATGAAAGAATAACCAAATAAATGCTTATTCCCTTCCTCCTTATTAAATAGGGAAAGCCGTAGAGGAAGAGACCAGAGTCGAGGGCAGGACCTAAATGCCAAGGAAGACACGGTGAAGGGAAGCCAGGTCTAGGAAGGAAAGCTAGTGAATCAAGGAGAAATCATTGGGCCCTCAGGGTGTGGGGTCACTTTTTCCCAGATGTCTTAGGGTGCCACTGCAGCTGCCCTTCCCTTGTATGATTCAGGAGCCAGGAACCAGTGGAAGCAGGGGTTATCCTCAACATTTGAGTTGCTGACTGTCCATGTCTCCCTCTTGTTAGCCCTACAGCACCTGCCTAAGCACAGCCTTCGTGGTCTGACTCCTGGGGCTCCCAGCCAGGATGAGCCTCAAATCACTTGGTCACCACGGTCCATCCCTGTGCCCAACCATAATAGGTAAGTATAAGAGCAACTCCCAAGGAACCTACCACACACCACCTACCCTTTCCCAGGACCCTACCCCCACCTATTTAACAGACCATGAAGGTTTCCTTTGATTTCTATTTAGGCATGAGGCCCATGCTCTGGGTGTGGGCTGTGGCCCAAGGTACCAGGGCTGGAAAAATGCATTCCAGTGGATCTCAAGCCGCCTGTCCTGTCACAGAATGTGGGATGCTGTCTCATGGGTATGCCTTCCCTCCATCTGTCCAGGGTATATCTAAGGTCTAAATTTTGAAATATAGCTGAGAGATGAAATGATGGGGTCATCATTATGAGTAGACAAGTAGTTTATCATCTGGATCAAAGGAGATAATGTATGTAAAGCACTTTACAAACCTTAAAGCACACGATAATGTAAATAGTCACTATTAGACTAAGTGTAGATAGCCCATGATAGTGGGGAAGGGGGAGGGGGTCAGCAGTCTTTGAGAAAGTTGTTAAAGTGACTCATCAACTTCATCTTCTATAAATTCACTTTTACTCTTCCTTTCCTTTTTCTTATACTTTCTTTTTACTTTTTCCTCATCTTCCTCTTTTCTTTTTCTTTCATTTTCTTTTATAGACCTGCCAGTGGTCCTTGTTATCATTTCTTTAACCCTGCTTAGGTTAAAGAAACTGCTAACTTAATATCTCTCTCTAGTGTGTAAAATCCTCCTCTTCCTCAGCAACTAATCCTAACCCTACCGTTTGTTTCTGTACAGTGCCTGACATTTATTGGCACTTAATACTTTACAAATTGATTGGCCTAGGTGGTAGACATACCAAGAAGTTTTAAAAAGCCTATCTTCAAGGGGACTTTGAGTCTAGTTTGGGAAACTAATTCTAAACATAAAAATGATAACTAATAATACATGATAGTATATGTGGTACAAACCAGTACTACAAGAGTTCTCCCCCTATCAGAAAAAAAAGATTTTCTGATCTCCCTTGTAACCTGAGAGTACCTTGCCTAATGAAGTAAAAAGTAAAAAAGCTCTCTAGGGTCTATGACAGCAGTGTGGAATGAATTAGGCACATGTGCAGAAAACACAGCCTTCAGCTGAAGATAAGAGAAATCTCCTGGCTTCATAGGCAGTAACAGAGAGTAAAGGCATGTCAGGTGATGTTTGGGCCCCAATCTTAAGCCAAGATACATCTTCTTCCATTCTATCCACCTCTCCCAACCAAGGTCTTAGGGTTGAGCCTGAGGTCATTCAATTCAGACCTTTATTGAGTTCTTGCTACATGCAATGCATTATCCTATGTCAGGGGTTCTTGACCTGGGGTCCAGCAATAGATTTCAAGGTTCTGTAAACTTGGATGGGGAAATCAAAAATACACCAGTATTTTCACTCACCTCCAACTGAAATTGAGCATTTCTTTCAATTATGAATGTAGGCAACAAATATTATTTTGAGAAGGACTCCAAAACAAGATGAAGAAGCCCTGTCCTAGGTGCTAGAGATGTCACTATTACTTTTGTAATCCAGGCCATAGTCTATCCACATCCACTCCATTTTCTCAAATACCCCTGTGGGCTGCATCTGTTTGCGACAGCAACTCCTCCCTCCCGTAGCCCATTCCTCTCTAGGAAGCAGGAGCCTCACAGGCTCACGAGTAGTATCTAATTCACACAGCCTCCTTTTGAGGAATGCGATGGGCTAGGGAACTTATTCTACCACCACCAACCCTTTTTTTTCCTTCAGTTAAGCAAGAAAGTACCGTGCTTAGGGTTACACAGCAAGCCGATCTTATAGCTGGCCCGGGAACCCTACAAAGCCCAGCACTTTGTTCACTAATCGAAGCAATCCAGGGTAGGAATCTTATATGTAAACCAACAAAGAGAATGTTCTTGACTTTCACAGCGCAGGAGTAGCCTTTTTATTTCCTTACATTTTCAAAAATTGTCTCAACAGTTTTTGAGTCACATTTGTCATGTAAAGGTATTTGTAAGGAAGTCATTGGGTGAAGTAAGGGTTGTCCTAACAGGAAATCGTGATCTGTTACAGTAACCTAGATTGCAGAGGGGCCAGTTTATTCCTCTTATTGCTTGTACCCAGTTGGGTTTCTGACAGGTTTTTTTTTTTCTTTCTCAGGGAACCCTGGCTGTTCTGGCCCTGCAACTGGCCAAGCAAATCCAATTTCAGGCGTCATTACCTGGTTTCCAGAGACAAGAACAGTGCTCTTGGCACGATCACCTGGACCAGATCCGTTTCTCCCATTTGCTGTGCCAAGACTTATGTAAGTTATCTCTTGGACAGGCAGAAGGAGTGGTTCTGGAGTTCCTCTTGGCCAGGATGTAGCTATGGGACACACCCCAGGAAAAGAACCATCAGCTCTTCCTCATTAGGGGGTCAGAAATGAGGTCAGAGGAAAGTGAACGCGGTAAAGTTATATCCACCCAGGGCGTAGGACAGTTCCACCCTTGAAAGTTCTTCTATCCTGTTCAGCCAAGAGAGGGAGCTGAACAGAGGCTCCTGACAGCCTCATTTGTTTTGTTGTTGTTGTTTTAAAAGATTTCTTTATATTAAATTTTATTTTTTTCAATTATCAAGCATTTATTTTTTCTACCTCCCAGCTCCCTCCCCCGCAAAGAAAACAAAACCCCCATAACATAGACATAGTCAAGCAAAATAAATTCCCACACTGGCCATGTATCTCATTCTGCATATTAGCCTGTCATTTCTGTGTCACAAGGTGGGCAGCATTCTCAACCACTGATTCCTTGGAATCTCGATAGATCATTGTATTGATTAGAGTTCTTAAGTTTCAAAATTGTTTTTATAATGTTAATGTTATAGTATACCTGGCCTTCTTTAGAAAATAGCTTCCTACCAACCCCCAGGGCTTTCCAGTTTTTTTCTTTATTTTATGGCACACTTATGATTTTTAGTTTTTCACACTACAGTAGTTGGTGTGGGACAAATCCAGTGTGTGTTAGGTCAGGAACAGAAATCAGCCCTCTTCCCCCCCCACCATTTTAGTCCTCAGCCAGTGGCCCCTGTACCTTAAGGAATATCTCATACAATCAGATTACAGTAGGCAAACAGTTTGAATGGTCCCCTGGAATTTGTTGTAATGAGATCTGACTTACAGTTGAAGTGATAAGGGATGTATTTCCTGAGGGAACAAATGTGTGAGAAAAAGCCACAGGTCCCGTCCAGTGTTTTAGTCAAGAAGCAGTTGTGACGGGGCGTCTTGTCCCCCTTCTCCCTTCCTCCCTCCTCCCAATCTTAGCCCTCTTGTTTGGCCTATATTTCTTCCTGAAGACTCAGTACAGACGGGGGAAGTAGGAAGCCTTCCAGACAGTGCTCCCTCCCCTTTCCCTGCCTTGTTGGACATTGAAACCTCTCCCATCCCCTCCCCTTTGGGAGGAAGTCTGTAGTCCCCACTGCACTTCAGTCCTCCAGCCCAATCCTTGCTTCCCACTGGTGGTCACCTAGGTTTCTTCATATATCCCCTCACACATTAGTCCAACTTTCTAAACAAACGTGGTCACTCATGCTGCTTGGATAGATGGGAGAGTCACCGACTACAATCTCTCCTATAGGTGGAAGACCACCATTTGATCTTAGTAATATTCAACTTCCCACTATATGCTAAGGTCTACTAGACCTTACCATCTGCCCTGCCATTATGTTTCTTAGACCCTAGGCATTGCCATCTGGCCTGCTAGTGTACTCTAAGGATTCCCAGACCTTACTGTTTGCCCTATAGCTAACCCTTTCATACTCTTCCATCCACTTTGTAACAGAACACTCATATATGTGTTGTCTCTCCCAGTTAGAATATGAGCTCCTTGAGAGGACTGACTGGCTCTCTTTTCTATTTGTATCCTTGATGCTTAGCATTTAGTAAGCTCTTAATAAATGATTCTTCAATGAGAGGGAACCTTTTGGGGACAGTAACAGATAATGATTGTAAGATGAGAAGTTGGAAAGTGAGGAAAAGAAGGGAGTTGGTAGGTTCCCAAAACTGTAGACTAGTCAGCTTGATATCAGTCTTTAGCAAAATTCTAGAGCAGACAGTTTGTGAGCATTTAAAAGCCAAAGAAATAATCATCACATCAGTTAGCATGAGTTCACTTAAAAAAAAAAAAGTCATGCCAAACTTGCCTGATTTTTTTTTTAATAAGCTTAGTAAATAAGGGGGATGCCAAAAAACATTGTTTATCTTGAATTCTCCAAGGCAGGTAGCCTTATCCCTCGTGATCTGTGGAGGCCTCAGAGAAATGTGGGCTAGGTATAATTGAATGGATTCAGATCATTGAACAGTTGTACCCAAAGAGTATTTATTAATAGACATATGTCTTTCTGCATGGTAGGGGGAAAGGGTTCTCTGTTACTGTGAAAGAAGAAATGGACTTACTCTATATGGACTTAACTCTATATGACTGTAGAACTAGTATTAGATGCAAGTTATAACAGACAAGTTTGGGCTCAGTATTAGGAAGTGTTTTGACAGCTCTCTAAAAATGAGTGTTCAACTGTTCTATCATGTCCCTGACAGGGATATTATAGAAAAGATTCCTGCATCGGGAGGACAATTTGCATAAATGGCTACTAAGACCCCTTCCAACGATGATTCCTTAGGAGGAGACAGAGAAGGAGTGGCCAGAGATTGGAAGTACCAGGAGAGCCTGTACATCATAGTCATCAGAATACAGAGTTAAATTCTGCCCAAGCATCCTTAAAACAGAATGAAAGGCTACAGTCCAGCCCTGGGCAGGACTTCACACATGTTTTATTCTTACCATTTTCTCCCTGGCATTTTCTAGGGTTGAAGAAAAATATTCTCCCTACAAGTAATTCCCCAGCGCCTTGCTGCCCTTGCCTTGAGGAACCCACAGAAGAGCAGAAAGGACCTGACCCTCAGGACCCTCAGCCTGAGAGCCTTGCTTCCCAGAGCTCCACGAGGACAGCCAGATTCAGGGGTCCCTGTGAAGCAGGTAATTGAACTAGTGTCTCTTGGAGTCAATAAGAGGAGATCCAAAGGGTTGGGCCTGCACTGGTGAACATTTGCTGCTAAATGCCCCAGGACAGGGCAGTGGGCATCCCTTTGCAACTGCATGCTTCCTGGACTCTGGGAAACAGGGTGGATCAGAGCAAAAGACTCATTCCCTTTGCTACATAGCTGTGTGTCTCTGATCTTTCCCCAGAACCTGTCAGCCTTGCTTTCTTGGATGCGAGTGGAGCAGGCCAGTGTCACACCAGCAGAGAGAGACTGGTATTGGTGAGATGTCTCCGCTCAGAGGCTTATATTTGTCCCCTGAGCAGGGAATTGGGGCATTCCCAGGGCCTGGGGAGGGATCTGTCTTCACTCCCCCAAACTGACTCTTATGGCTGTTTGTTACTTAGGAGCAGGAGGAAACAGAGACTCTTTCTTTAGAGGAAGCCATGTTGTCCTTGCAGCAGCAATTCCAGCTCAGTGTTTCCATCGCCCTCAATTTCCTGGGTAACTGATTGCCGCCCTGGGATGAGGTGGGGGTATTGAAAAAGGGAGAGTACACAAAAGGTAATTGAATGATTTTCTGTTGTAGCAGAAATGTTGAAACTCTGGATAGGGGAGCTAAATTCCCTGGTATAAGTCATGGAAAAGCAAGAGCTGTGGGGTGGAACCACATACAATCTCCAGAAGTACTCAGAGAGCCTGTGCCCACACCTGGAACATCCAGGTTGGCCCTCCCTGCCCTAAAGTAACTAAATATGGGTCACAGTCTCAGAATCCCTAGGAAGCCAGGGAGCCATCCTGTTGGATGGGATTAAATCTGTAGATAAAGTGTTAGGATAGAGGCTACCTCTTCCTTCCTGTCTTGTCCCCTTCTCCCTCCAACTCCCTGCTGTGTGCCTGGAAGGGGTGGGCTCTTATCAGTCCTGCCAAAAGAACTTAGAACAAGTAAGATGGTGGCTGGAGTTAGACTGGGGGTTAAAATGAATCTGGCTTTTGCATCTTCACCTTTGAGTGATCCAAGCAGAAGATAATCTCTTCTGCGTATAACATGAAACTGTTAAGAAACAGTGGCAGGCATTATATGGCTAAGTGCCAAAAAGCAGTGGTACAGACAGAAAAGACTAGAATTCAGAGAAGGGAAAGATTATCTTGGGTGGAAATTGTTTAGAGAAGTTGAGACTTGAGCTGAGCCCTGATAGTTGAAGAAGAAAGAAAAAGCATCCCAGGCATTCATCAGCATGAACAAGGGTTTGCCTTTGGAAGGAGTATGGTCTGTTTCTTCTGTGTTTTCTCTTATACTTTTAGGATCAGAAGTAAGGAAGAGACCTATCATCAGGCGATTTGTGCTCTGGGTCCATGGGGTCTTTGGTAAATGTTGTGGGAGTTTCACAGCATCCCTTCTGCCTTGTGCTCTTACAGGGACTGAAAATATGAGAAGTGGCAACTGTGAAGCAGCATACTCTTACTTCCAGAAGGCTGCGGACCAGGGCTATAGCAAAGCCCAGTTCAATGTGGGCCTGTGTCATGAGCATGGAAAAGGGACCCAGAAAGACATCAGCAAGGTGAGTGAAACCTTTTGATTGATCCCCACTCCTCCTCTGTGCCAGGCTGCTAAGGAGGATCAAAGCTGGGTGGAAAAGTCTGATCTCACACTATGGGGAACAGCCCTGGCCCAGCTGGGAATAAAGAATGGCCTGGGGAGAGTCTCTCACCCAGTAACAGGGGAGCCTTCCAGGGATGAAACTGAACGTGGTGCCTGTCCATTTGTGGCAGGCAGTTTTTTATTACCAGCTTGCTGCCCAGAAGGGCCATCAAATGGCTCAGTACCGCTATGCCAGGTCCTTGCTGAGTGAGCAGGCCCCAGCGAGGGAAGCTGATAAGCAGAGAGCAGTGGCCATGTTGAAGCAAGCAGCTGATGCCGGCCTGAAAGAGGTGAGACTCCTGTCTGAAGGTGGGGAGGTCCGTGGGCGATCATGGCAGGGATTGAGATGTTCCTTTTCCGGCCTCTGCCTTAGGCTCAAGCCTATCTGGGGGTGCTGTTTACCAAGGAACCATTCCAAGATGAACAAAAAGCCGTGAAGTACCTTTGGCTTGCAGCCAGTAATGGGGTAAGTGGGGAGTGATATAGGCGCCTGGGCTGAGTCTTCTGGAGCTCTGGGAAGGCAGGAGTAGGAAGAGCAAAGGGGAGTAACTCAGTTACTAAACAGTGGGAAAGAGTACTAGCAGGCAGGGCCAACAGTGAACCAGCTTGTCCTGCAATCTCCCCATACCCAAGGCCGTTTCTTCTTTCATTTCTAGGTCAGCACCCCAGCAGCTTTGCCCTGCATTCTTGGGCAAAAGAATTTTTTTCACTTCATTTTGTGAAGGCATCTTAGGTTTCCGACCAGCATCTCTTTCTGTTCCTGTCTTTGCTCTCAAAGAACCTTATGAAATCTTCTCTGGGTTGAAATGGACCTGAATTTTAATGTGTAAGTTAGGAAGGAACACCAAGAAGAAGGACTGGCAGGGAGCTGTTTGTCACCTCGGCCAATCACAGTGCAGTGAGACACTGCCTCTTATGTAACCATGGCAACAATGCCTGAGGCTGGGGCTCTCCTAACAGGTCCTTGGTATTCATCCAAGCATCTATTCTATGACATAACAGAGTCTCGAGGGACATTGTTTGACTCAGAAGATATTTAAATACCTTTAAGGTGTGTAAAAACAAGCCCCTAGTATTTATTGTGTGGCTAGAAGATAGAGTGATGTTTTATAAGTACTTAGTTTTTTCATCTGGTTAGGTATTCATTGGTTAGAAAAGTCTCAATAAGGAAGCTCCCTCTCCTAACTCCAATGTCCAGCTGTCCTGTAATGTGGAGAATGGTCATAGAAAACTGCCTAGGGACAATGGGAGGGTAAGTGCAATAGTATGTTGGGGCTTTAATGAGCAAGTACCCATGGTCACACAGCCAGTATGGGTAAAAGACAGGACTTGAACTCCCATGCCTTCTTTCAATACTCCGCACTACCTCTCAGGTAGTTACAGCACATATAAAATAGACCGCATTCCTGGCCTAAATAGAGGTGAGGAGAAGCTACATTGGACAGTGGATAGACTGCTGAACTTGAAGGCTGGAAGGCCAAAATTCAAATCCTGCCTCAGATACTTACTAGCTGTCTGATGCTGGGCAAATACTTTAACCTTTCTCAGTTTCCTTATCTGTAAAATGGGGATGATATAGGGATTATTATGAGGATTGAGTGAAATAGCCTGCCTAAAGTGCTTTGGAAGCCTTAAAGTACTATATGATGCTAGTTGTCATTTATTAATTAGCACAGGGTTTGGTTTTGTTCTTTCTCAAACATTAATTCTCATAAAACTGGCCTCAGGCAAGGGTGTAGGAGCTTTAATTTCTAGCATCCTAAAGTTGCTCTTTATTCAGACTTCTTACCTAT